AACACAAATAATTTGATTACTAGGAATAAATGCATAGCCATCTTTTAAGTCTTATATTTGAATGACCTGATTTCTTTGGCAGCTAGTTAGAGCCTATTAAGTGAAAAAAAAAAAAGCAAGGTAATATAGGCATATTTGCTAGAAAATAATCTCCAGGAGAATAAAATGAAATTAAACAACAAACTGCTGAAAGAGGTCTCAGTGAAATTCCTGTATTATATTGTAAAACTGCAAATAATATAAAACGTTGCATGAATCTGTCAATAGCTGTTCTTAATGTTTATCAATTTCAATGTAAATAGATAAGATTAAAGAAAACTACTCAAAAGCTGAATTAGTTGTGGGTGAACAGGTTGTCAGCTTACAACAAGCAGGTACAATAATCTTTTGTTTCATTTTTTTAAAAAAGGAAAATATAAAAGAATATGAATATATTTCTGCATATATATTCTCGGTGAAAATGCAGTTTTCCCCATACTACATATATATACACATATATATGTATATATACACACATGCATACATATACATATATACATACATGTGTATATATACATAAGATGCATATATATGCACACACATATATATGTCTATTTGTCTATATGTGTGTACCCAAAGACACACACATACATATTATTCCTAACATTTGTGATGATATTCTGCCTGACAAAGACTTCTTGAAGTAGTTTTTGTCATTTTTATGAAAAAATGAAAAAAAAAAGTCTCTCACCTGTGGCGTAGTAGATTGGACTAATTATTAGACTACCACACCATGGGAAGTTTGACAGATTTTTTAAAAAGCTACATTTATGGTATTGCCTCAGTTTCTTAGGATTTTCTTATTTTTTATAAGGTAACATGCAGAAAAAAATCTACATGCAAGATGAACTAAATTTATTAGCTATTGATTATATCTGTATCTAGGAGTGTTTACAAAGTAAAGAATACAGTGAAATAGCTTTCCTTATTAAACGTTGCTTCTGAAATTTGATTAATACTCTTTATACATACAATAAAACAAGATTTGGTCATTAAAAAAATGTAAGCTTTAGCTTCTGAATTAGTCTTGGGTGAACAATTCCTTCTTTGTGGCTCTCTTCTTCCATTGGGTTCAGGTCATAAGATACTTGATCTAGAACCTGAGTTTTTAACCTTTTTCCCCTTTTGCAGCAGTTTGAGGCCTACCATGAACATTTCTTTTTAAAAATGTTTTTAAGTATGTAAAATAAAATACGTAACATTATAAAGGAAACTCGTTGTGTTGGAATACAGTTATCAAAATATTTTTTTTTTTAAATTCCCAGATCTCCAGTCTAGAGGCTAGAAGGAACCTTTTACAAGGAGGAAACTTAGATCCAGACTTGCAAAGTGCATTACCCTTTGGATTATCTACATAGAAACAAAAGAAGATGCATTCCTAGGAAATTCATGTGATATCAATATGAAACAAAATTCAAGCTTTAATAAATTGCTCTAAATATAGCTCCCTACAGATAATAAGAATGATTTGTGGCCATCTTTTGTATATAGAGTGGGTAGACTGGTGTGTGGAGGATTGTGTCAGATACTCTTATGACTGAATGTGTACATACTAGACTGAGAGAGACCAGCTGACTACAAACAGATGATAAGAAAACATATTGCTTGGCAAATCTAGAGCAAAAGTATTTTTCTTCTAGATTACAGAAATAATCATTCTGTTGTTTGTTTTTTCTTAAGCCAGAGCTAACTTACTATTTATCATAAGCACATGCTGACTACAATTTATAAGTGGCATTTGAAAATGACACAGTAGAATGATATTGAACCGTGCAAAAAGTTCACAAAAACAATTTTATTTACAGTGTTTAATAGAGTATGCACACAGGTAGGACACAGGTTTGGATTCATTAAGTCTTCATGCAGATTATTATTCTCCCTAAAAATAAGCCAGTTCCATCCAGGATTCACTACTTACATGCCTATGTTACAACATTTTATAACAAATATGGTATCTGAAGAAAAGATACACATATAATATGTTCATTTAAGTTACTTATTTTACAGAAAGATTAAAAATTCAAATTACACAAAACTCAAAAAACTGTATGAAAAATTTGAATATGAAATTGAGAGATCCCACTGGAATGCCTAAGGAGTGGAAGCTCTGTATCCACCTGTGTTAAAATCAGTAATATGTAATGAAATATTACCAATAAAATGCTTTCATCTGTTCATTTTAAGTTTTCTAATTTAGCAGTTAAACAATATGGCACCCTAAGAAACCCAATGAATTGTTATGATGAGGCACTTTTGTTAGTGACTAAGCCAAAAGAACAAATTAGCTGAGTACTAATGCCAGCTGTTTTACTCGTCAATTTCTGGTCAAAACCCTTGTATAGATTACACAGCATGTTTGCAACAAATACCTTGCTTATTTGCATGCAACCATCGTTTGTGTGTGTGTGTGTGTGTGTGTGTGTGTGTGTGTGTGTGTGTGTGTGTGTGTGTACACATATTTTTCTCAACTTTATGTTCTTCTGGCCATAGAAATGCATGGTGAAGACATTCCACAGTGCACATTGATGAAACCAGCCCAAAATGAAGGCTGCATAATAGCAATTCTAGTACAGAAACATATGTACAGAGTTATTGGACAGTAGCTTTTGAGTGGCTGTAGTGGACTCATCCCTCCAGTTTAGAGACACTGATGAAACTGATTTAGTTCCTGGGGTTAGGGATGGTTTTTGAGGATTGGCAACAGGTATAAGAGTATCATTTTGGTTGACATTCTGGAAGTTTTCGCCATTTATTTGTTCAAGTGATTGGGATGGTATGGAAGGAAGGGGTCTGTTTGTCAAACGGAGGGTGCTAGGGGAGCTGCCTCCATCTGATCTATAGATTTCTATTTTCTTTGTGTTCTCCGGTCTATGCTCTCTGTGATCTCCTGTGTTCAGACCAAAAGTGCTAGCATGTAAGCATTCTCTTGCGAGTAATCACCTGAATGGTAATGTGTTTGTTTCAAGTAGTATTGTTTCAAATTGGTAAACTTTTGTATCATTATATGAAGTAGGTTTTCATAATTTGAATGTTATAACATGTAAACTGAAAGAAACTAAAGGATGGTGGAAAAATTGTGTAAAACCAGTTATATTACTTTGTCAGATGTGCTAACCTAGAAAACCAGGTATTTCTACCCTTATCTGTAATTAAAGAAGGGGTAGAAAACCAGGTATTTCTACCCTTATCTGTAATTAAAGAAGGGGTTATAGCTAACATAATTTGAGTATCACTTATGAAAGTAATAAGATTGTTAACTAAGTTATTTGAAGTTATTGTTTCAATGTTAAAACTTAGAATTGTGAATTGATGACCAAGTGTAAAAAGCAGGGGACTGGGTAAAAGCCTTCTCCAGATTGCTTCTGCCCATTCAAAATAGTCCTCCTTGGGACACGGGGATCAGCACGCAAGGGCACCAGGATTTGCCCCTCCATGGGGTGAAGGCAATTCCCCATATTTTGTAAACTTGCCAAAGTCCCTGGAAACCATCTGTGGGGGCAATGTCATCTGCCGTGAGAAAAGTTTGTGGAAAAAGATTGTGTATCTATTCAGTTGTGAGGTTAAATTTAGGAACCTCTTTCATTTAAGGCAGTTTTTGTAAGAAATCCCCTCCCTAATGTAACCAAATCAGAGGTCTCTCCACCCCTTTTATACTGGCTACTCCTTGATGGGAAAATTTTTCTATCTCAACACCCTGTTTCTCAGTTTGTCTCCCTTGCTTGGGTGACGAGTTCTATAGGTAAAGACCCCTGTCAGGGAGGGATTGTAAATGTTTCTGCTGGTCTCGACTTGCACACCTGTAAGGATGCCTACAGTGATGAGTGACCCCAGAAATTTACTTATGCCAGCTGTACCACCTGTTCTGAGAGAACACTCCCTACTTGCATCTGTGACCCAATAACCCCTTGGACCTGGCATTGGCCAAGTTCTGGACACTGGCAAAAAAACCTTGAAGGGAGGGACCCCTGGAGGCAGGGACAGCTCTACACCAATCCCAGCAGGAAACAGTTTCAGAAGCTGAGACGTTCGTCCCTTACCCCAAAAGATTTTGGATTCTATTTATTTAAGGGGGGAATGATGGGGTGCTGGGGTGCTTGTGTTTGGGTGCTTGTGCTTGGACCCTAGTTTCCCCCTAGCCTCAGAAACACTGTCTCTGGCAGTTTCTCCCAGCCCAAGGACACTATGCCTAGAAATTACTCATGAGTGGGCCCCAGCAAGACCCTCATATCTTTCCCCGGTGCAGTTACAAACTGCACCTGAAGGAATTATTAGTTTGAACTGGTTTGCACTGGATTTTGAAGACATTCTTACCAACTGGACTATCTATACTACTGCCCTACAACATTGTCTACATCCTGGAATCCTCATTATCTGTATTTTAGACCTAAGACATGTGTATACTCCCTACATGTGTCTCGTCAAACAAGACATTGACTGGTGGCAGACTGGATAACTCTCAGTTACCCCTGACCTCTAGTTAACTTAGTGATATAGCAGGCCTAAAACCACACCTCCATGTGGCCACCCTTGTGGGATTTTCCTAGTGAAATCTGAGTAAAATGCCTGCACAGTAGATACCAAAAGCGCGTGTTCCTTTAAGAACTGACCACTCTTTTACCACTCCCTGATCCCGCCCTGAATCACATGAGCATATTTGGCACAAGTTTTATTGTATTTTATCCTATATAAACTTTAACTGTACCCCTCTAAGCTCACAGGTTCCTTAAGAATCCTTGCCCACTGTAAAGTGTAACAAAAACTTTTGCCAACTTGACTTAAAGAATGCTTGAGTCCATGAATTCATTCCAGATGACCTCATCCTGTACTCCAGTCTTTGAGGGGTCTGAACCTGTCAGACTGTAACAGCACCATTCAAGAGAATGCTGATTCTGAAATTTCGTTTTTCAACTTTGGGGAGATTTGTTTTCAAAATTAAGGAGCTGAGTCCCATGCCACGCCTTGGACACATGGCTAAATGCTTTATGACTTAAAAAACTGGTAGATCATACCATGCTATTTCTCCTCAGGGTCTGCTTTCACAAATAAAAGAAACAGCAGAAAAACTTGAAGAAAGTAGCATCGATCTGTTTAAAATGCTCTTAAAAGAAAATTTACAGCACAGGTCAACTATTTTGGCATTTACAAGAATGGGGGATTTCTGCAGACAAGGTAGCTACAGTGTGGGCAACAGTCCTCCTTCTTCCTACAGGTCCAGCTGTCCATCAGGGACACCACAGCGTCCACTAGTGACATGACCACGGGATAGACGCCTCCTGTTTCGCCTGTTGTGCAACATCAGTATAGATTTGCCTGTGTCACAAAGTGCTGAAACCCCCTTTAGTACTAGAACAAGAACTAGAGACAAAGGGAGAAGGTTGGGAACAATATGCCCGGTTAGTGCAGCAGTACAGCAGGAAATAGTGTTCACCAAAAGACTCTAGAAAACTCAAGCGTCACCGAGAAAGAGGGGACCAGCTGAGAAATAAGGAAGTTAACTTGGAAGAGACTGATTTTTACTAGACATTACACAGGTATGTTAAACTAGTGCCATTAGTTCTAAATATTTAACTTTGTGCTTTTAAAATGCATTGCTAGCCTTGGGTATGATAGTGATTTTTACCTTTTGGAAGGTCACACTTTCTGCCTTCACAGCAACCACATATTCAGTAGCATTGATCTGCTTTACCTTGTGATGACAATTACATGGATAACTGTGAATAAAGAGAACAGGGCTATGCATGCTCATCTTCCCTCCTATGTCCAAATCTGACAGACTTGTCAACAAGCATTCCAACTCCATGCACTGCCAATAGCATTATAATCACTGGAAGATACTTAAGATCAGTCAGAAAAAGGAGAATCAGTTCATTAGTGGAAGGAAAAAAAAGGAGAAAAGAAAAATCATAGTGAATTATTACTTATGAATTATTTGCTCTATCATTATAATACAAGCCAGTAGGTTTTTCTAGCTGACAGGTTAACACCACCCAGGCAAAGTTACCTGATACATCTCCAGGAGATACGCCCGTCCTTCCAATGTTGGTCAGTAAATGATCTATGTTTGGCACTGGCTGAGATTCTACAGTGTTTTCCTCCTGAACTGTTTCCTATGGTTAATAAACAAAGATCCCCTCAACATTTCTTCAAAGTTATTTCATTATACTTTCAACAACATTTAGAAAAGCCCATTGACCTTTTAACTTTAATTTTCCACACTGTTTTATCTTAAAACAACAACAGTACTTAGTACCACATTGTTAGCTACTCCTATTTTCATTCAGAAGCAAGGAACCAACTTCTGGAATGCAGAGTTAACAGGGCAAACGGTGAACTATGGTCACATTATTGAAAATTTAGGACTCTGTCCCAAATCAAAATAACCAATCATAAAAGCAAAAAGGAACTTACAAGAGGCTCTTCTGCACCTTCTTCTGTGAAAAACCAGTCATGCTAAAAATTTAAAATAAAAAATAAGAGGAGAAAACCCTCCAAATTGCCATTAGTATGGAGGACAGGATAGAGAGACAAGATCTGTGTTAAGAGAAAAGAGAAAGAATTTAATTCTAAATGATCTTTCATTCGAAGAGATTTTTCTCAAAGACTAATCACTCACTTACATGTTGATAAGGGTTTCTACAATTTTGTACTGGTCAGGCATGTGAGTCACCATATGTGTCATATTATCTTCTAAAGATCGCACAAGGGTTGGACCAAAAACAATGGCTAGATTTCTTGGTACCATCTGAAAAAAGGATGGGAAAGGGTGGAGAGAGGGAAAAGATAGAATTGACTTATTACAAAAACAGCAGAAGTTTTCTGCCACAAAAGTAATGTGATTAATATTCAAAGAAGCTTAAATTTCCAAAAGCCAACCTGCAGTTTCTATCCGAAAGGTTGTCTTGAAGAAAACTACAAGACTGAGGAAGCTTGTTTGGCTGGTGACTCCATACTTGCACATTCACCCCCAGCTTGTATCTCTCACTCTGTCATTTCTCCCTACCTGCAATGCCAATTCTTATCCATTTCATATCTTTCACCTTTTTAGAAACTGAGTTCAAAACACCTTTCAGGAATCCTAGGGATCCATATGAATAGTCTTAACTCTGAGTGCTTTCTGCAAATATATACTTGGTACTCTTTTAATGACATTGATTGAAACATTGTTTTGTAAATCTTTCTAAGTCTTTGCATATGGGTTGGACCCAATTTGATTATAAGGGTCTCAAGGACATGGACTTTGTGTGCATTTACTTACATTCTATTGGGCAGAACAACAGTCTATACAATATGTCTAACAATATGTCCATGGAGTAAATGCATGAGAGTTCAGGAAAGGTCACATGAATAACAATACTGTTTAAACTGAGCTTAGAAGGAAGCTAGATATTCTAAGAGGCAGAGGTGAGTCACAATTGTATTTCAGGAATGGTGTCTGCCCTGTGCAAAGGCAGGCAGATGAGAATGACAAGGTCACATATAAAGGAGCAAAAAGAGGGTAGTTTGGCTAGAGCGCTGAGTGCCGGGAAGATAGAATGTGCAACAAGCTGGAGCCAGATTGTGAAGGGCTTAAACACAGAATAAAGGAGTTTTTGCTTTTTTCTACAAACAAAACAACTAGAGCTTTGGAAGCAGCAGAGTGATGGGGTTCTATCTGTACATTAGAATCATTTTGAAAGCTGCATGGAGAATGGTTTTGAAATGAGGGAAACTAGAGACATTCCCACTGTAATAATAGTCCAGGTGAGAAACAAGGAGATGGATATAAGAGATGTTGTGAAGGCAAATATTTGGCAACTGATTGGATATAGGAGGGGACAAGGCAGAAAGCAAGTTGTGGATGACCTCAAGATTGTGACTCTGGGTACCTGAAGGATGGTGGTTCCCTCAACAAAAATAGGGACATTTGGAAGTTGTGGAGGAAAGATAAGTTGTGATTATCTAACACTGAGGTTAAGAAGGCTGTCAGACAAATACAGTCTGAAATGTTCAACAGGCAGTTCATGATGGGGGACCTGAATCTCAGTAGAGTGCCTGAGGCTGGATATTTACAGATGTGGGAGTCCTTCATATATATATATATATATATATATATATATATATTTGGTCATTCAAACCATAGGAGATGATGAGGAAAACCTAGAGAAGAGAGAATATCCAGAAGCAGGGGATGGTGAACAATTTCCAATACTGCAGAGATCAAGTGAAAGCATCCATGGAGTGCTTTCTATGTGTCAGGCCCTGGGCTAAGTAAGCGCTGCAGACAGGAGATAAAGCCCTCAAAGAGTTTACAGTATAATGGGAGTGGGATGAGAGAAGACCCTAACATTATTAAGGAAGGCTAGGAGAGGATTCTTGTGGAAGGTGGGATTTCAGCTGACACTTGAAGGAAGAATAAAACCTGGGAAGAGGTCTTTTGGCTTGGCAAACAGATCATCTGCAGCTCTGGGTTGTGGTTAAGAGGAAGGGCAGAGGCACTGAGTGCAGACAGCTTTTCTAGAGTTTGCTTATGAAAGGGAGAAAAGAGAAAGTACCAATAGCTTTCAGGGATGCTGGGGGCAAGGAAATATTTTTTTTCCCCTTAAAGGGGAGAAGAGTAAAATACATTGTGGACAGGTGATAGTGAGAAGGGAAGAGAAGGGGAGGACTGGTTTTGAAGGGAAGGGTTACCTCTTCATCAGACACTAGAACTCTGAAGCAAACATGACAGGATTTAGAGTCAGAAGATATTCTAGCTCCTTTTTTAGAGTAGGAAACTCAGGCCTTAAAATTAATTAATATGTTCAAGGTCACATAGCAGGTAGTAGTCAGTAGAGCTCGGATTTATACCTAAGTTTTTAATTGAATTATACTGTTCAATTTAAGTGAAACCACATTACTATTGCCTGGCATAATGTCAAAAAGCAAATCAAGTTCTCTTACCACCAAGAAATCTTCATGCACCAAAGATGCAAACTGCTGCAATGTATACTACTAAATGAGAAAGAAGCATATCAAGGGTAGGCCAGCCAAGAAAAAAAGGGAAAGAAGTGCTGGGAGAAGCTAAGGATCTTTTTTTTTTTCCTGGCAGATACCAGAGGCAGAAAGGAAACTAAACTGTGGAGGTTTACATAAACGGGGGCCTGGAGCATACCACAGCATTCCCTGTGTTGGAAAGGTTTTTTTGTTAATTTCTTGTTTTTGGTTTGTTTTTGCTTTTGGTGAGGTAAAAGGGTTAAGTGACTTGCCCAGGGTCACACAGCTAGGAAGTGTCAAGTGTCTGAGGTTGCACTGGAACTCAGATCCTCCTGACTCCAAGGCCAGAGATCTATCCACTGTGCCACCAAGCTGCCCCTGGAAACTCTTTTTAAACTATTATGTTTTTAAAGGTTCAAAGTCATCCATCACCACACAATTCTTTCTGTTAATCTTTCCCACTCCTATCATACTGACCCGGCAATTATGAGCTGTGTGAAGGCCAGGAGATGAGAAAGACAGACATATCTAAGGAGTAGGAAGAAAAATATCTGAACCATCAGAACTAGTTTACATCTGTGCCCTTTCTTTCTGCTGTTTCTAGATCTGGGGACCTACTTGGTGATTAAGCCAGCTAGACAAATTCGTACCCATTCCTTTTCATTAGAAGTCTACTTTGGATTTTGTTACATAGACCATAAAGTTTTGATTCAAAATGTTAAAGAATATTTCTAGAATTCTTTATTTACCTACCTTGTTTTTTTCTATAGTGCCAAAGTTCCATGAAAGCAGAGGCTTTGGCTTTACCATTCCTCTCCTTTTCCTGCCCTCAATACCGACCACAAGATCAGTTATATCCATATGTATAGTTTTATCAATATGTGTGTGTGACATGCTCAGCAGAGATTTGTTGATTTACTAAAAACATGTAAATAAAGGTAATGTATACTAACATGTTTAAAAATTCTGTCTGGGGAGAGTAAGAAATGTTATTCTGAGCCAGAAATAAGGAGGGGCCCAACAATGTAGTTTGGCTGAATGGCAATAAACTTGTTTTCATGGATTCTAAATAGCAAAATTTACCCCCAAAAACCCCAGTTTACTACCACAGAACTTTACTTCCACTTTAATTTTCTTTAAATTAAAACTTAGGTGTTCATTCAACTGGGTTTAGAGAAGATAACTTACCATTTGTGAAGAGAGGCTCAGGGAGTTTTCTGAAGAATGATTTCAGCAGACTACTGACATTCAAGTCTCGCCATTTCTAGGTATTCAGAAGGAAATATGTAATACGTCACAGTCACCATAACATGGTGAAATATGAAAATGAATGAATGAACTTACATCATCCTGTATATCAATATCAGCCATTCCTTTGTTGAATTCCTCTTGCATTCTTGAGATAGCAGCATTATTTCCAGGAACTCTGTAAATTCCTGTATGGTCAAGTCCTCTTTCTTCAACTAATTTGCAGCATATGTCAGCTATTAGTGGAATATACTACATTATACTACAAAAGAAAAAGAGACAATTCTTATTTTTAGAGGCCTCAAATGATCATACTAAGCTATTTTTTATCTCTACATAAAATATATTTCTCAAAAAAAAAGATTAGCTCTTTAGGTCATGTGGAGAATCAAAAGAATAGTGAGTTCAGTTGTAACTGAGTTAAACATATTTGGACTGCTGAGATGGAAATGAGGATGTAAGAGGGGAAAGTGTTATCCGATAGAGTACTTCGTGTGGGAGTCTGGAAGACTTAGCTTCAGAATCCTGCCTTCAGCATTTATTGCTGTGAGAATGGTGGGCCAATGACTTCCCTCTGCCAAGACCCAGTTTCCATGAAAAGGATCTAATGATGACTGCAGTGTCTTTTTCACAGGGTTGTTATTGTAAAGCTTTGTAAGTCTTCAAGTACCAAATATGGTTGTTCTGATGACTGTCAAATGACTGGGTAAATTCTGGCTGAGGAAAGAACACTAGAAGTCAGGCAATTAGCTCATGAACAGAGTATGGGAATGCAAATTGCTCTTAAAGAAGGTCAACTTTACTTCAGACTTGAAATCTAGCTTTTTACACACCTCTCCCAAACACATATTTTAATCAAGCAAATTAAACACATACTGTCTTCATTAGGCTTTTGTTTTACAAAATGCACATTGATTTAATGTCTCAAAAAAGATACTGGCCTGCCAGCTGTTTTCTAAACTTGTCCCCTTGTTGAGGGCAGAGACTAACAGGGGACAGGGAGGGACAGGGAGCAGGGTTTAATGGAGAGAGGTAGCTGCTCAAATGAGGCTTGGAGGAAGAACAGGACTTTCAGAGATTGAATTAGGGATGTCGCTCTGGCTTGAGTGAACAGATGCTCGTAGGACATCAAACTTCAATTTTGGGATACAAAGTTAGTATACATCTATACGGAGCGCAACCCTAATGAAAGTTTCAGAAAAGAACAGGCAGGCTTCCAGAAATCATATTGTCTTTAACTTAATCTGTCTTTATGGTAACTAATGGTTAAAAAGGGTAGTGAATACAGTATTCTGCTGCTTCTTGACTATCCAAACTGTTTCCATTTGAATTGTCTTAGGAAGATTCTGAAGATCACCTGGCAAGATAAGGTACCCAGCAACTGATGTCGTCTCTCAACCTGACCTGCCAAGCATTCAAATCCTACTGTAGAGAGCACAACTCCCATGGGCTGGCCACATTGTGTGAATGCCTACCATATGTTTGCTGGAAAGACTATTTTATGGAGAACTACCACAAGGCAAGTGCTCACGCACAGGTTAGAAGAAGCAGTACAAGGACACTCTCAAGGTTTCTCAGAAGAACTTGAGTATCAATTGTGAGACATGGGAGATGTTGGCACAGGACTGCCCAGCCTGGTATGCCCGCATCCAGCATGGCAATAGGCTCTCCATGAGCCAAGCAGAAATGCAGGAGCAGAAGGGAAACATGACATGTGTGCGTTTAGAGATATCTCCACCCCAAATGTTCAAATGGACTGGTTGTTCCCAACCTGTGGTAGAGCCTTCCAAACCCATATTGGACTGATGAGCCACAGTCGAATACACTGTCTCTTGACACCAACACTGGGATGTCATTGGCCCCCTTGAGTATAAAGGTGGAACAACAACAATAAAAACCTTTTGACTAACTATCTTTTCTAATGTCGTTTCCCACATCTGCGTCAAAATCATCCAGACTCCGTGAAAGATTTCTCAGGGATAACTTTGTTCAACTTTTGATTAGTAATTTTCAAGGAAGTATAAAAACAGACAGATGTGTGCTTGCTAGAGTTCAGCATTGCCATGAAGTGGCAAAAAAGGAAAGTGGTGGTATTGATGGTGAGGTCCTACAGATGCTCTTGTCCAAAGATGGCACTGAGCTGACTGTATGTATGTAGAACCTCCTAAGTGAATCTCTACTCTATCCAAAAAATAGCCTAATACTCCATACAAGAAGAAGTAAGTCAAAGAAGTGGAATGTCTACTGGTAGACTGCAATATGCATTTGATGGTCAACCTGGAAACTAGCCTATCAGTACATTGATCTTAGATATTCTAAGAGGACAATGAGCTGACCCAGAATTGAGCAGAAGCAGAGCAGGCTGGATTGCCTCTGGAAAACTGGACAGTTTTTAATAACTTCAGGTTATTCCCTGAAATAAAAATCTCATATTTTTTGATGTCAACATTAACATCAACTCCAAAGACAATAATTTCATGCAGAAATTAAATCAAGGTAAATGACAGAGCTTGGCAGAAACTTCTCTTAATCAACTAACATCTGCCTTGATAGCCAAATGTTGAAAGATTTCTCCTCAAGGCAACACCAAGTTAGAGTATAAACTCACTTGTAAAATCTTTTTAAAAAAAGGATGGCAGATCAGTATTACCAGCTTTGTCTTGTAAAACAAGGAGAGTCAATAGAAGGGAAAACCAATCTAAAAACATATTGCAATTAACTATTTCATCCATCAAGGACACTGGGATCACCCCACCTGGACCTTAACGTCACAATCTCCAAGATACAGAAGAAGTAGAAATGGCTTAATGAGAACAAAGAAAGGAAAAGCAGTCCTACTGGGACAACTATGTCATTAATAGTGGATGTTCATGGAGATGGTATCAACTTCTAAGGATGTCGAGTGATGATTTTTAAGGTATTTAAAGAATGGGAAGTTATCAACGATATAGACAAAATCTCACTCTGATGAAAGTATTAAGCAACATGAGATTTTACAAATGATATCTGACAATGGAGCACATCTCAAAATTAACTGAAATTGATAGAGAAAAAGATCCAATTAACAAACATAATGCTTATTAATTATGAAAAAACATTTGACTCATTAAAGCAAAATGCTGTCTTACAGACCTTTTCCAACAAGTGTATCCCACCCAGACACCATCCTCATTTTATTTTATTGACAGCTTAAATCATTTTATTTAATCACCCTCTGATAAGAAGCATCCAGTGAGGCATATAAAACAGTAAATATGTGCCAGTAAATTGAGGAAGTCCAGTGTAGAGTCTAAGGCTAAAAGAACCTGCTGTGGATGCTGAGTTCCACACATGCTCCTGTTTGCAGATGACATCCTGTTCATTGCCTCAAGCCACAAGACATTGCAGAGCCTCCTGGAAGAGATTTGCAATCCCTCAAAGGAGTTTGGCCTGATCATCTGTGCAAGGAAGACCAAATGGATGCCCAGATGCCAACATGTGTCTGAAGGGACACCTACTGAATCTGTCCAATGGTACCTATATCTGGGTCCAGAGATGAAGAGGAGGATGAGAGAAGCTGGATTGCTCTTGGAAAACTGCAAAACCCTTTTTGACCAACCCCAAGCTTCCAAGTTAAGGAACATCCAAAGGTCAATAGAGAAGTGTATTTTGGGCACAAGGAGGTTACACATTACAGAACGGAAATTATGCACACAGTAAGAATGTCATGGAATCAGGCAGCTAGGTGGTACAGTGGATAGAGCTTCAGCCTTGGAGTCAGGAGGACCTGAGTCCAAATCTGGCCCCAACACTTACTAGCTGTGACCCTGGGCAAGTCACTTAACCCCAATTGCCTCAGGAAAAAACAAAACAAAAACAAGAATGTCATAGAAAAAATATTACACATACAAAAAGATGAGATGTCACAGA